TCCGCGAAAAGCTCTCAGTAGGCCCTCAGTCTATTAAGGGGACTGATGAGCGATGGAGTCAGAATCGCAAGCAGCCGTCAGGACATCATTTGTAACCACAAAACTTGCTTCCCTGATTCGAGAAGACTGCACAGGCGAAGCATCGCTCCTAGTGCTGCGCATCGGCAATTCCCGTTTCTTCCCCTAAAAAGCTCGCCTAAAAACCCAAACATAAAGAATTGCTCCCTGAGGAAGAGAACGCAAGTCCACACATCAAATTCCTGTTCAACCCCCACAACTCCCCCTAGAAGGAAACCCCAGAGTTAGAACACTGCACCCATCAAGGCTTGCTTTCTCACGGGAGGGGCTTACAAATTCAACCATCCACACTGCTCACCTCAACACCCCTCTGAGCTCACCGACTTGAACAGAGGAACAACTTAGGTGCTTATGTACTCCCGGAGAGGGGCGCGCAACCTGAGGGTTTGTCTTTCAAATGGCTACATGGATTTGGCCAAGCCTCCCCGCCCACTGCACGTCCACCCCCACCCAAGGAGAGACCACTCTCCCCCTAGGCGCAGGGCCGGCGGAAAGGCGCCTCCCCCCGCCTTGCAGAGGAGGAGAAGGCAGAGACTTGAGCCAAAATGTCTTCTTCTTCTCACTGCTCTACCCCACCCCGGAGGGCAGGGCTTGGGGCACAGCCTCAAGCAGGTGCGGTCACAGCAGTCCCGAACCGTGACAGGCTCTTCTTCTTCTTCGGGCTCTGCCCCCCCCCCTTGCAGGTTCTTTCTTTCTTTCGTTCGGGCTATGGAGGAGAGCTGGTGCTCCCCTCCGGGCTTCGATGCCCAGCCCGTGTTGGGCTGTCTGGTTGGACTACACCCCTCATGTTGTGAGGTTGTTTAGAGTATGTGGCAATAAGATTCTAAGGACAGGGCCACACCATTCAACCTCACAACTGCACAAGTTTCGCAGCATATATCACTGCGTTGGTGAGCAACTTTAGACTAGAGTCGCCATGAAATTTTGACAAAGTGACTTATGCAGTTTGTGGAGTTGCTCTTCTTGGTTGTGAAACTCTCTCTCTCTCTCTCTCTCAGCGACTCAGTCAACGTCAGCTCCGAACGTGCTCGTTCTCAGAACTGAGCAAACTACAGAATAAATACTCTACATGCACACAGACCTCCATGGCGAAGTAGAACCTTACACATGATGAGCCCAATCATAGGATATCTCTACCGTAAGTTGCAACATTCTCAGCGTTTTGTGATAACAGACTTCCCATTGCAATGCATATCCATGTTCAGCAATGACCGACCGGAGCTCCATCCACCCCCGACGTCTCACATAACCACCAAAACCACCAGGCATCATCACGGATGTTAGTCAAACAACACATGGTGTTGTTGCCAGAAATGGGTCTCTCCACTTCAACCAGGTGTCACGATTGACAGGAGGAGGCTCTGAGACATTGATTCCGTGCTCTTGAAGCACCACAGAGTAAAAGGACAACCACTCTGCTTGATTCCACGTAAAGATTGGACCAGGTCTCCAAATTCAGCGTAGAGCATCCAAAGATTCGTCTACACATACGCGCCACCAACCGCTGACAGCCACCCCACGCCCGTTGTGGGCTCATTGAGCAGAGAAGTTCCTGACGAGCCAGGTGATCCGAGGAGCGCCGCAGCAAGTGACCAAGATAGCCGCGCTTTCGATGAAGCCAAACCGCACTCCAGAGCAACCCCGGTTTTCTGAGTCGGAGAAGCTCTCTGATACCCCGCCTCCTCAAGCGATTCAGGCCACCCGCCTGAGAACCTCTCAGCCATTCAGGGATGTAGAGTTTGGGGGCATGACACAAGATAGACAACTGCATCGACTGCATCTCAGCCAAATGTTCCTTTAATGGATGCAAAGCCACCGCAACATCCCATCGCTGCCAATGACACGATTGAGAATGCGTACGAATCTGCTATGCTTAAAACAAGGGCGCGAGTATAAACGATGTCCCTTCATGTCGCCCACAACTGCACCTCCATTTTGATTTTTAGCCAGTTTAAGCGTTGGCATTTGCAGCTTCGACTGGAACTGGCGCTTAGTTCCTGACGGCGCGGCGGCTCTCCAGCCTGCAAATGGGGAACCTCTTCCCTCTCTATGCAATTTCTTGGATTCATAAAATGATGATCTTGCCTGCCCTGGCCATGCTGATGCTGGCCAGTCCGGCGTTGTGGGGCAGGAGCCTGGGCTGCCATCCAGGTCCAGGTGTGGCTGCTTGCCACAGCAAATACTGCCAGCCTGCACTCTCATTCGAGGCGCCATTCTTTGGAGATGCCTCATCACCACACTTGCCAAATCCAAATTTCCATCTACGACCATGCCTAGCCTGGACCGCTAAAAGGCAAGGCGATGTGCTCGTGGACTTCCCCACCTGGCACACAGGTGTCGTAAGTCACAGCACAGACTCTGCCAACACTGAAGACCTGATAAGATGCTTTGCGTTCAGCCAGGCACAGTTTCTACTGTCCACAGGTCTACTTTCCAGTCAGGTTTCGGCAGAAAACAAAGCCGGACGAAAAAAGCCTACGAGATAATTTCTCCGTGCTGTGGCTTCTGCAACGAAACAGAGCATCGATTTCTGCAGAGATGTCTTTAAGTCTCACCCAAGAATGGCTATCACTAACACAAATTTGTTCCAGGCAAGACCCCAAGCTGACTCTCCAGACAAAAGCAGCGAGAAAAACAGTACACCTTCTTCAACAAGACCTGCAAAGCCACAAATGCCCTGCACAAGGGCAAGCATGCGGCAAATGGGATGGTAAGATATTACGGACTGTGCTTTGCTTAGTGTACTTCTTCCGCCCCAGGCCCTTGAGACACTGCACATTCACGCGGAAGGTGGGCAACCTACACTCTGTGCCAAGGCCTGCTGCAAGTCTGCTAAGTCAGCTTCACCTTCAAGATCCGACATCCCGAATACAGGTAGCACAACTCACACCTCACACTGAGGGAAGGGCAGCGAGAGATTCTGCGACTCAGCTCCTGAGCCTTGACGTCGGCTTTACAGTCTTAAAGGCGTTTGGGTTCTTGCTGGACTTTGCAACCAATGATCTTGCATCTTGCTGCGCCCAATCACTTTGCGGCAAACTGTGTGCCGGACGTGCTTTCGAGCATCACTCAATTCTGCGAAGAACTGCAAAAATTCAGGGAGCATTTGAAAAAAAATGGCAAATGCAAGCGGCGATTGCTCATGGGCAGGGATAGCTTCTGAAGTCTAAAGCTCCCGAGTTGCCCACGCACGGATGCCAGCCCGTACCGAACGCGCCTGAACCCGAAGTTCGTCCAAAATACGGAGCGTCTGCGGCTGATCAAGAGCCTCAGATGCGCAAGGTCTCCCAACTCAACTCGCAATTGGAACATCTGGAACGCCAGCAATTCCTGAATAGAGCATGACTCAATCTCAAGCTTGATGTTCTACAGCAAAAGCCAAGGCACCCCTGAGCCAGCTCCATCTCGTGACACCCGCGGTGACTTAGCCAGATCCTCTTCCAACCGAGCGATCCTCTTCTGTTGGCGTTCTTTCTCCTGACGCTGGGCGCTCTGTAGCTCACCCTCCACCACGCTGAGACGATTTGCCAATGTAGAAGACGCGGAGAACACATGGGCATGCGCCTCTGTAGAAGCCTGTGCACGCTGCATGGCTGTTTGTGCTAGGCGCTGCGCTGCATCCTGTAAATCAGCTAAATGCTGCTCTCGCTTGGCGGCCTCTTGGCGCAGGGCCTCCTGGCCCTTGCCAATGTTGCTGTCTTGTTCCTGCAAACGCTGCTTGAGCTGGCTGGCGAGCTCTTTTCGATGAGCTGCCTCAGCGCGACACATGTCTCGAAGCTCCTGCATTCCCGCATAATGCGCCTGCAGGTGGTGCTGTACCTGCTGCTCCAGCTGCCGCTCAAGCTGCGGCTGCACATGCTGCTCCAGCTGCTGCTGCAAGATCTGATGCAACTGGGAAGATAACTGCGCAGATAACTGCTGCAACAGCGTCTTTTCTAAGTGCTGCTGCAGTGGAGGCACAACAGCATCAGGTCCAAGCGCCTGAAGCCTCGACTCCAGATCCTTCCTTTGCTGTTCGAGCTGCCTCTGCAAGCTAAGAAGAGCATCAGAGTTAGCTCTTGCAGACGTCTGTCCCTGCAATTGGAAGAATTCCGTCCTTTGTTCTTCCACGTGATGCAGGACTTTCTGGTGCAGATCTTGCAAATGCTTTTGATGCGTGACTTGCATATCATGAATTCGTGCCGGCAAGTGCCTTTGCACGGAATGCTCCAATTCAGCGAACCTGTTGTTTAGACTGCCGTGCGCCTTTTCAACACCAACCACCTTCGACTCCAAAAATGTAAGCCTGGCAGAAGTATCCCCATCACTACTCCGGAGTCGCAGGTATTCTGCGGCCAGGGAGTCATGATGAGCATTTTCTTCCAGCTGCACCTTGTGAAGAGCGTCGCGCAGAGAGCTGTGGTTCAGCGAATGTTCGGCCAGCTGCTTATCGTGCTCTGCCAAGTGCTGCGACAACTCTTGGGACACATCTTCAATGACTCGCACAAGACGGCCCTGCGCATCCGAAACCGCTTTGACATCGCGGGCCAGAGTGTGAGTTGAACGATCGCTGAGAGGAAATGTAGCAGCATCCAGACCCCTGCGAGAGCTGCTTCGCGAGGGATTTGCGCGCGGTGACGTTAAGGACTCATCCAACAACCTCCGCCCTCGCCGCGTCTCAGAACACAGCGCCATGCATGCAGTCTTAGAGTTCAGCGGTTCTTCTAACTTGACGGCCTTACCTCCCCGGTGATAGCTGCATGCGAATTTATCAATCACTCCCATTGATTCACAGCCACCTGTCTGGCTAGGCTGTGCTTCTGTGGAACTGCTCCATGTGAGGCTGAAACGCATTGGCAGCTTGAGGCCCATCTGCAAGGACTCACGCATCCGACACCTTATTCTGGCAGGACAACTTTGCGCCATACAACTTCCACTCTGCTGCGCCCCTTTTTCAATCCGCAGTATTCGGATGAAATTTAGACGTACTCCTGGGGGTTCCAGCGAAAGCTTCACAGCAAAATTCTAAAATGGAAGGAGGCGACATAGCATGCTCTCCTGTTAGTACACATGCAACTTGATGGGGGTTACTTTTTTTCGCTCTTAGGCACTAGTTTGAACACAGGCTCTCCTGTTCTCCGGCGAAAATTGAAACCCACTTCTCACGCCGGGCCCTTGGGAGAAGAAGCGCAAAGTCAACTTATCACATCAACATGCTTTGAGATGTCAAGGTCGCACTCTGGGAGCCATGTACCAGGGTTGCCTAACTTCTATGTAGTTGCTTTTCAGAGCTCCCATCATTCACGCTTGGCCTCATCCGTTCCTATGCCACAGCGGCTGATTGCGAGATGTGAAACTGACGAATACACAATATTCATTCTTGTGGCAACGCCTTTGAACAACACTGCTTTGGTTTCCATCTGGACTCCAAGACTTTCGAACCATGTACGAATATGCAAGAGTCAGGGCGACGAAGCTACTCGCTTGGCGGAGCTTCAGCCGGCCACAGGCACTATCTCACCACAAGAAAATCCAGCAACTTTTGGCGAACACGAAACTCTTTCCAAGAGGGATCCGCCATGCTTGCAACTCCTGCATTGGAGAACGACGCCATCAACGTCTTGACAGTGCGATATTCGCAACTCGTGGGCACCGCTCGTGCCGGCACAAGGAATGCTCTTCACTTGCTTCTGTCATAGCAACTCAACGATCCCCTCCTTAGCGATCAGCATCAACATGCGACGATCGGGTTGCCACAGAAAACTTTAGCGCAGCGGCTGTGTTCAGATCATTGTTCTTGATCCGAACTGAAGAGACCACCCTTTGCAGAGCATTTCGTGCAAGGATCTGTTGTGCCTGACTTGATGCTTTCTGCAGCGGAGTTGCTCTCGCAGCTCTTTTCCTGGTGCTTCCAATGAATCACATAGCAAGTGACAAGCTCGCATTTTTTTCTTCGTGGACCTGCCTCCCTTCCAATCATTCTCGGCTTTCTTGATCACTGTCACTAGTGGTGCCACATTCAGCTGGTACTGATAGTCACCGCCTTGTCCGCACAAGGATGGTAGACCAGAGCTTCGAAAGTACTGTCTGCAGGCTACACGAGATGTGAATCACTAACTAAGGCACTGGCTGACTGTGAAAGCCAAAGTTTTGCGGGCCTTTCGGTATAGGACTGCAAGAGCCTCCACCAGAGGTGAGGAAGTCAGCACACTCGCACAATGCACAACTGCTACATCTCACGATGCGGAACCCGAGGAGCTCGAATTTGGCTGACAAGTCTTACCACGTCTGCATCAAGACATCCAGTCCAATATGCAACCGGGCGAGCCGAGTCACTGAGGCGCATCAACGAAAGTAAAACGTTACTAAGGAGGATGCATAAGCGATAAATTTCTGGGAATGGTTGGGTTGATGTCGCAAATCTCAACATGTTGGCTGTGGATGTCCGTGTTCAGACTTTCGATGGCAGCGGCAAAATGGGAATGATTTTGGTCCAGGCCTCTAAGCCTCTTAGAGCGCTCGAAGCTTCTGTTACCGGGTCTGGCTACCGGCACACCTCAAGGCCTCTAAGCCTCGAAACCCCTCAGCCTCTAAACTTAAGCATTTAGGGGCTTAGGCGCTTATGCGCTTTTAGGCGCTAGCATGGTTTGTTTCCTGTTAATTCAGAGACAGCGCTATTATCTGGCCGACAGGCTTCCTCGCCCTCTGGACCACAAGCTTGCACAACGTGCTGCGAGAAGCTTGCTCTTACTGGCAGCTGAACCCTCCTGACGGCCTCATGCAAAATTCGCGAGAAGAGCGAGCCCCCATGGCAAACAGATTGGAAGGCAACTGAGACTTTCGAATCCATGCTCAAGGGCTGTAGGAGAGAAGTTGTCCACAACCATCTAGAAAACAGAAACCACGTTTTTTCCCACGCCCGTCTCCTTCCAGTGCCAAGATGAAATTCACGGCAGCCGCAACAACTTGCAGCTGCTACGAAAGTCTTTGCAGATTTCCAGGCAGGATCTCGGTCGCGGAACAGCATTGCCCATAGACCCCCACCATCGTCTCAGACCAAACGAACCTTTCGGCTGACCGGCAGCTTTCAAACGCAGAAGGCGAAACATGCCAAACCATCAAGCGTACCAGTAGAACAAAAACAAGCCCCAACCTAAGTCCATCCCGTACAACAGTTCCCAAGCGGCATTCGCATTTGTGGTGTATAGTGCACTTCCCTATATAGTCGTACTGTTAGCTTGCGTGTCATAATTCATATGCCTGTCAAGGGCTGCAAGGACATAATCATCGCCATTCATGATACCAAGCTTCTCGCACATGTGTGACATGATGCAAAGTGTAGCAGGGCACGCATGGAGTGGTGATTCAAGTACAACACCAAATTCAGCTCAGCTTAATGCTGTGACCCGAGCAGCTACCAGTGCAATTTCTGCATGACAATTCGACAACCTTTCGAGTGATTGCTGTAGAGCTATCAATCCAACATGCATTCTGCACGCAAATCTTCGGAGTAATCACTGCTCATGCGGCTGGGTTCACACAATGCTGTGTCATTTGCACTGGGCATGAGAGCACGACAGCCCATCCGATCGGTGCATTTTGATCACCGACGTTTTCACAAATCTTGCAAGGATCCTTGACATTCTGTGTGACAGCCTGAATCACGCCAAACATGCTGGCTCCTTAGTAAGAGCTGTTCAACTCCAACAAGGCATGCTGTTGCACGAATGTGGCTGTTGTTGACCAATGTTGACCAGATCTGGGGCTTGGATCCATGCCTCAAGAATTCATGACGCAATGAATCAACAACCAGGGCTCGACAGTTGTTATTTCAGGGAATTAGCCGCAAATCAACATGCTTGACGTGCATGATCTGGTTTCATAATTCCAGACAACCGTGCAAGACGTTCCGCTCACATGTGTGGGGAGTGCGGAGAGCTCCCGGCGCATAGGCACTGGCTAGAATAAAAATCCTAGTCCTAGCCCCCACTTCACTCCCAGCCTCCAGCGCATGCATCATATTGTGGCCCGAGGGATCCGTCAAGTCTTCGCCGAGGCCCATCCTGATCAAAAGCACCAAACAGCACGACTCAAATTGGAACATGTCCACCGAGGTATTCAAGGCCTCAGGAGATCAGGCCCGTAGTACAGCATGATTTGTGGTCCGACAGGGCTGCCGGCAAACTCCTCGGCAGGTGTAGGCGAGTGATGTAGCCTCACCCCATCTCGCAAACAATACCACGGCTGCGCGAATGCTCCTGAACCAGTTGCTGCATCTCCCCCAGCAATAACTCCGTGACCTTCCAGCTCAGGTTTTTCAGCACCAGCATACCAAAAGCCAGTTGCACCCATGCTGAAAACATGCAGCGAAACTTGGTCATTCGCTCATCTTGCAAGGGTTTTCAGTAGCAAACATGAGAGAAACCACAAGAGGGAGCCAATGTTGAATGCAATGACCAGTAACAGCAGCACTGGCAAGAAGGCCAATCACATTACAAAAACACGGCCTATTCAATGCATAGGCATCTGGCTGGCAATGTCTCTTGTTCTATGTATTGCACACATAAATACACTTCAAAGTTGGAATGTTGCATCTCATCGTGCACAAATCTTACATGCACACGCCGGTGAATTGCAAGAACACAAGGCTGCCAAAAAGCAGCGTTCCGGCCAGCAGAGAAGCGGGAAACCAGAAACAAGCCAAGAACTGCAAGAAGAAGAGCAAAAGGCTGGAACCGAACAGCAGGATAAACAAAAGGCGCTCACACAGCCATTTGCCTTGGCTGCATTCTTGTAGCTGTTGCGGGTCATTGCCAGAACCCGCAGGGTGGCGAGACCGGTTTCATGGCAGAACACTTTGCTCTCACCTTAGCTCCCCGAACGCTTTCACTTCGCTCAAGCTGAGCATGATAATGGAAAGCTGTATGCGGATGGGTTGCACATTGCACCAAACTCTTTCTCATATTCAGGGTACGACCTGATGTTTCAACACAGTAGCGAGATGCATGTTCACATATTTCCATTGCGCTAGAAGCCTCTTGAAGTTTGTGTACAAAAAGTTGAAGTACAAGGTCCTGCCAAGCAAAACTAAAATTGTCACGATGCATGACATGTTGGACATGCTGTTGCAGAGTCAACCTGCTTTAGTGTGTCCTTTCATCGGTGTTTGGATTCTCCAACCTCAAAATGCAACTGCGGGACGAGCACATGATCCACTTCATTTTGCCTCAAGCACTTTGCTGAGCCAGACACAGCTTGGCAATCAAATTGTCCATAGCCTGGGTGAAAGAAGAACTGTGGGAAGCAAAGCAGCAACAGCAAGGGTCACCAGCACAAAAAAAGCAATACTTGCCGAAAACTCTCTCATCCACAACCACTATGGTTCACCGCAGTCAGCCATGCGCGCCAACCACCACAATCCGGCCACGCTGTCACTGCCTCGCTCAAAGGCCTATGGGCACCGAAGACGGAGTCGCCGGCCCCCCCCCCCTTCCAGCATCAGCGTGTAGGCACCAAGGGATGGCCAACTATACAGGGGGAACCTTTTTGCAACAGGCTTCAAATCCGCCCGGTGGCAGGGGGAACCTAAAAGCGGAGAAGGGAACTCCCCATGATGCTAATGACCCGGGCGGTATGGGTTCAGTTGGTTTTATGGGAGCCTCATGCTGGAGTTATGCACATGCAGGATTTGTGCGATTGTGTCAGGCTCTACCTTGGCTGATAGTCTACGTCGACTCGATGATGGCTTTGTGATGAAATTTTATGCGGGCTTTGTGCCAGTATCAGATTCAAGCTGCTTCTTTCTGAGGGGGCTTCATCACAGTTCGCAGTGGTGCAAGCACGCTCGTGTCTTTTGCGCTTGCTATCCCCTCTCCCGGGCGCGTGCGTGCTTTCCAGCCCTCACTACGACCCTGCGCGTGCTCGCCACCGAATAGAATCTAAACAGAATGTGCCTTTCACTAGTGCAGCTCTTCGTCGACCCGCAGCACATGCAACAGCAGCAGCAGCAGCAGCAGCAGCAGCAGCACCACCACCACCACCACCACCACCACCACCACCACGTCAGGCACCGCCTCAGACAGCCGGGCTATGGCAAAGCAACCAGCATCGAGACTTCTGTTCCCTGCGCCGACCCCTTTGCCCCCAACACAACTGTTTTGGTGCAGCGGTATATAGCGCCTTGGCATGCATGGTGGCCAAGCGGACCTGCCCTCCTTGGACCTCAGCATGACTTTTCAAACGGCTTCTGGGATGCACCAGAGCAGCCCCGGCAGCCTCCATGAGTACCTTGCACCTGAATTTAAAGCCATCCACCTTTCGAATGCGGTATTTGTTGTTCAATGTTGTTTGGCTACGCTCGCGTCGCTTGGCCAGTATAGCTTGTTCTCCTTGCAGAAGACTGATGCAAGGCTTTACGCTTGCAGAATTCTTATTGCCACATGATGCTGTACGACATCTCCGCGCGACCGGACAAATATGGTAAGCTGGGTATTCCTCACTTTTTTACAGCCGTGTTCCCAGCACAGATGTGTTGTCACGTGCAAAGACGCAGAGCAGAAATGTTCAGCAGTGCCTCTGTATAGACAACTAATGCTCCTGCACAGGGTTGCAGACTTGCCTTCAGATGACGTCATGCAAACATGTGTTTTCGAAGGCCAGACCATGCACATACAGATCCCTCGTGGAAAGCGGAGGCGGAGGGGAGGCCGAAAGCTACCTGGAGCGTATCAGTGGCAAATTTTGCTGTAGCAACGCTGGATAGTTCTTATGAACTGAGTTATGCCTTGTCTCTCCCACAAAAATGGTGGAAGAAAAGAGCTGTACAATTTTATTTTGCAGTGCCGTAGCCGTAGTTCGTACAGATTTCGATGCGCAACAGCCCGCATCGTTTGCGCGCCTATGTCTAGACAAGAGGCATGATCTCTCCCTCTGAACGCTGGCCGGCTTACTGCAAAGCTGAAAGCAGAGTCTTGCCTTCCAATCCCGGCAGTCAAGGTTGACGCGCGCCAGCATAACTTTTTCGAAGCAATTCCACGCGGCAAGTGCCACTACACGCCCGATAAAAATTACAAACGCCTGCTTCCAGCTACGCGTTTATCAAAATCAAGTTCCAGCAATCTGGCTGGAAGGGGGTGGACATGCATCTCTACATCAGTCACCTCACACATGCTTTCGATGCAACTGCAAAACGAATACGAACAGTGAGTCAAGATTGCTGATCGTATACTCATTGTGTTTAGTCTTCACTCAAGTGGCTTTGCAAATGCTACCTGCGCAGTGTCAGGGCCCTCCTTGCAAGAAGCACCGAGGGGGAACCACAACCGCATACCATTCGAAAAAATGCACCTATCACAAAAGTGACATCCTCCTCAGGCTGGCCAAGTTGCACTCGTGAAGCCCATGTAAACTGGCACTAGCGCCAGCGGGAACAGGAACTTCTCCTAAGAATCAATGGCTATCAAAGCTCGTGACAAATCTCCTGCTCCCGGCTCTGGCAGCTCGTGCAGCTAGGCAGCGTTGCAGGACGCCCCTGCTATGTCAAAAATTGAATGGTAGAAATAATAATGGAGCGATCCATTCCTTAGCTGCAAACCATTGTAGAAATATGGCAAAAGCAGCAACATTCGCCGATACTGCAAAAGCCACCAAGTGTCAGTAAATGCTTCTTCTCCAAATCCAGAAGTCCTGAGCACCGGATAGAGCTTCTTGGAGATTTCAACCGACTAATTGCGTCGGACACAACGGGAATGAGAGACTGCTGCTTTGCCACCAAGCAACCCCTAAAGTTGATACAAGCAATTTCGCCTGCAGCAATGCTAAAGAAGATTCGCAGAGCGAATGAGAAACGAACCAGGTATCAACGCTTGCCTTGTCCAAGCTGGGGTAGCTGGAAATTCGTGGAGAAGCCAGCATGAATGGACTCTTGCCGAGCAGCACCTGCAAACCAAAATCTTACCATCCAGGCAAAACAGAATTCAACATTCATATTGTCACAGCCGAGGTAGGCACTCAACTCGGCGACCTGTGTGTTCACTGCTGTTTCCAAAGCAACCGAACTAAAAACAAACAGCTCATGAAATCTGAGCTGGCAACTGTGGGTAGCAGCTGCTTCTTGAGCTTGGAGCTCTTCCTCAGCTCGCAAATCTGCTGCGATGTTTTGCGACAATTCCACCCCTTTGATTGATCTGCCAAGTAGCAATGCCATTGCCAAGACTTTGTCATGGTCATCTGTACGCTGATGTGGCGGCAGACTGTCGTTCACGGCCTTGCTTGCATTTCAGTCAATGTCCATCATGCGATTGTTCCAACATGTCATGGCTGCCCTGACATCAAGCAGGCATACCTTTCTGAACTCGTCGCTTTTGCCAACGTCGTGAATGACCTCAGTATTGTGTTTTTCATACTAATTTTCTCGAGAGAGTTGGCTTGTGCCGTGGACAAATGAGCAACATTTCGAGCCAAGCTACCAAGAATACCATCATGCCCCACCAATCAGCTTCGCTTTCCATGTGCTTGGCAAACTTCTCACAAAATTGATAATATTCCTCGGCGAGTGCGTGCAAGTGTCTAACTTCAAGTCTATGTTGGAATTTTTCTGGCAACCTGTGGCTGCCCAGCTGCAACTTTCTTGTTGCCCATGTTGATGAACTTTCCTTCCAAATGCAGACCGGCAACTGTACATGTTAGTGTTACCACCCTGAGTCTACATGAGCAGTCGGCCTGGCACTTGGTCCACACTCATGGGTCCGCGCTTGCCCGCCGACACGCAGTTCAATCCAAACTCCTCCTTTTGAGTTGGTTCAGTGACCGCAGGCGCAAGGCAACATGAAGTTTGCAATGCCTGTCATATACCCAACAGGATTTACAGCCGTGGTCGTCCTTGTCATCGTGCGCCGAGGAGTAGCACGCAAGCAGGGCCACAATGGCACCGACCGTGCGGAAATACTCCTCAAGCTAGACATAGGACTAGACTTTCGAGAAAAACAAGCTAAGATGCTGCCCAGTTGCTGTTGGCGTGTTGCCAGCCTCTTCCACACCAGGGCTCGTCTGAATTTTACCTATGCAGACACAAGTGTTGGTCGCCCCATCTCCGCAGCACCAAATCTCAAAATCTTTTGCCTCGACGGTATATCTGCAGCTCTGGGAAGCTGCTGTCTAAAAGGTCAAGGAAACGTCTGTTGCCCTGAAAGGCAAGCAGACATGTTGTCATCAACTATTGGACGCATGCGAGATGCAAAGCCTCAGCATCAGGAGTTTTTTCCACGCCGCCTCATGCGGGAGCAATTCCAGTTGCACAACACAAGTTCTCACAATCTCACAAAACCGGCATCTATGGCCTGCTTCTTTGAGGGCTTGGAGGAAGGGTTGCAAAGTTTTCCCTGCAGCTTCTTCATGCCCTGCGGTTATACATGCGATGCGGATGACTGCATGAAAGAGGGACACACTGCGCTTATGATGCTTCTTGGACTGCACGGGCACTCGCCTGTTCTGCAAGAAGAGCAGCCTCCGGCACAGCTGAAAACCCTGTACACACGTGCTGTCACAACACTAGATTAATCACTAGATGCCTAATATCGCAGCACCCATAACGCGGGTGGCGTTGCGTCCATTACGCAACGTGCCTCAGAAAAGCTTGACATCCACAGGTTTTACCAGGCGCCCGACATGGCACTCGCGCACAATTAATGCAAGCATGGCACCACTCGGCGAGAATCGATCGATATCGTGCTGGACACATGATGCTGTTGAGCCACACGGCCGGCACAAGTACGAGCATCGTGTGGCACATGTCACCTTTCTGCCAAAAACCCCACCCGTAACGAATCGCGATCCCAAAGATAATGGAAGCAAATAACATGTTGGATGTAAATTGAAACAGCCCAGATGCTCATGGCCGGTACATTACGTGGGCCGTGAGTCGTGCCGCATCTGGCCGGGGCCGGGCAGATTACGCGAGAAGGCACTTTGCCATTGGTACCAATTCTATCAAAAAAACGGCTTTCTATTTTTGTTGTGTTGCCAAGCCTGCCCTCACTCTGAATTTTGAAGCGTTGCATAACATGGCGCAATTGATTCAGAACACGGCTCTCTGTTTGGCAAAAGCTTGCACATGCTTGCACGGCTTTGCCACATCTTGTTCTTTCAATACTGTTTCGTCAGAATTTATGGTTCTGGTGCCGGCTGAACTCTTCAAAGCTTTTTGTTCCTAATTTCACACAAGCTGAAAATGTCTGATAAAATGTATGCCTGCATGACTGACTATTTTCCAAAATTATTACAGTGAAACACCTAAATATCAAGCCAACCCGAGGCTAAAACAAACCGAAAACGAACATTAAGTGAAATAGTTGGCAAGTTTTGCCTCCGTTCTCCTTCCCAATTTGAAACATACATTCTTCGAACCGGGAGAAGCTCAGCTGTCGCAACACCAGGGGTCACCCAGCGTCACGACACCACAAATCAAAAGAAACCGTGATGGGCAACAACCATTGCTGCGGCAGGTGGCGGGTGTGCCATTTTCCCTTTGAAGTTTCCACTGGGTTGTCCAATATACGGGTCGGCTAGTTACTCGTGCTGGCCAACTCACTGCACAGCAAAACCACGCAATCCTTTCGTACTGTACCACAAGGCCCCGTGTCAAGGACGTGTTGGCAGCCTCCCTCCTCAGCTGTGGCCGGTGGTCGCCAAATCACTATGGCAAACTTGCGGCCATCCCCGCTGCTTGGAAACTTGGCGGTTTGAGGGGTGACCTATTAAAAGAAAATTAATTCATAATCACGCACAATTAAAACTTGGAGATAAAAATAATCGATCATAATACAAAAATTATTCCACCTGCCAAATGTGGACAGTCACAGGGATTGTGGGGTCGGAGCCGCCATCCCTGTAAGCGTCGTCGCTTTTAGATGCAAAAGTGCCACCAGTCACAGGGATCGTGAGGGTCGGGGTCGCTATCCTCGTAGAGCCTCTCAGAATTTGAAAAGCGTCAACAGTCACAGGGATCCTCGGGGTCGGGGGCGGGATCCTCGTAACCGTCGTGCTTTTGGACCCCTGGAGGCTTTCGGAGTTTGCAAAGTGTCAACAGTCAAAAGGATCGCGGGGGTCGGGGTCGCGATCCTCGTAACTGTCGTCGCGTTTCGACTCTTGACACTTTGCGGAATTTGAAAAGCGTCAACACAGGCACAAGGATTCTAGGGTCGGGATCCTCGTAATAATGGTCGCAGTTGTATCAGGATCCTCGGATTCTTTTAGAATTTGAAAAAGTGTGGATAGGCACAGGGTGGCTTGCCACCTGCAAACAAGATGATCCGCACAACTTTCCCTTACCGAAAACATGGTGATGACATGATGCCCTTCCCTTTTTTGCAAGCATGGATGGATTTAAAACTGCGCGGGGTTGGGGCCCATTTGCGAACAAAATGATCTGAGCAACCTTCTCTACTGCAAATATGATGACGACGTGATGCGTCTTTTTAATTGCAAGCTTGAAAACGTGGGGGGGTTGGGGGGTGCGCAACCCCCCCATGTGCAAGGAAAATGATCCGCACAACATTCCCTTGCTGCAAACATGGTGATGACGTGTCCCTTTGTTTATGGCAAGCATGGATGGACTCCGTCCGTCAAGAGGCGCAAGTACAACATTAGAAAAACACTGATCATGTTACTCAAGATGGAAAACCCAAACTGTGAGAAAACGTTGGGCACGTGCGCGCACAAACAAAAATACTGTAACTGAGTTGCTCCTATTGTTGTTCGCGCTACTATTACTGCTAGTACTACCATTGTTACTACGACAATATTTTTGGCTGCACTGCTACTATTGCTACTCGTGTTTTTCTACCATAGCACTGCGCCAGGATATGAAGTCTTTCCATGATTTTTTGGTTTCCTTTTTTGTTTGCATCTCTTTCTTTTTTTCTTGCCGTGCTTTCGCTTTCCTCTTGGAGATTTTCTGATTCTTAAATTTATTTTGTACTGCGTTTTTTTCTGTTTGTTTTATCTTCTTGTTTCTGCATTTTCTTAGTGCATATTTCATTCTGGCTGTTTCCCCCGGTCTCTCTTGTTTTGTTTTTCTTTCTCTGCTGTCTGTGTATACTTTTCATATCTCTCTTCATTTGTTGGTTTCTTGATTTTCCCCTTTTTTCTTTCATTTTTCCTTGTCCTCTTGTTTTCTTTCTTTCTTGCTCTCTGTCTGCCTCCCAACGTTTCCGTGATGTTTCAATAATGTAGAACCGTTCAACCTTTAGCCGCATCGGGCGGTTCCAAGGGGTTGGTGGTGCCGAAATGCTGTGTTTTGCAGCCATTTCGCCCATTATTTTGTTGGATTATGATATATTTTTTTTGATTGGCATCCCTTTGGGAGCCTTTGGGGCTCAGGTGTGCAGACTCAACACAAGGAAGGTACCAGCAGGAAAATGACGTGAGCAATTCTCGCAACGATGGATTCAGGTTCGATCGCTCAACGCGGGAAACGTGAACAACTGCTTGCCATTGTGCCTAACTGCTCGTGCTTTTTTATGGCGAGAACCCGGACACTGCCAAAAAACGAGAATTGTCGAGCCATCACTGTCCCTTATGTTGCCCAACCAGAACACAAAAATACCTTCTAACCACCTCAACCTGTCGGTCGGCCCGAAAGGCGCTGGTAGGCCATCACGCTGGTTTGAAATGGTGTCTGAAGCATATGGCTCTGACAGTCAAACTTGCACATTCGAATTCGATGATTGTTCCACATCCGAGAAACAGTTGATGTTGGTTGGCGGGGAAGCGCACCATTGAAGAAAAGCGCTCGGAATTGGTTTTTCACTGGTTTCCCCAGTCGTTTGCTGGGTTGAAAGCGTTACAGGGCACACATCTTCCATGCTGGGATCTGTGTTTCTTTCCAGTTGCCGAAATGGTCCTTTTGCCTGCATCACCTTTGGCAATAACCGTCAACCAGCCACCTGTTTGCTGGGAGCAACAATGTTTTGGCCGTCCTCCGGGTCGCAAATGGCCCTGGATTTGCAATTCGCACGCATCGTATCGCAACCTATGCCATGGCAGCCTGTGGCTGCAACATCTATAAGCGTGCGCTGGTCCATGAACATGAACAAACAAACATCAACTGCGTTTTTTTGGTTCGGGATTTCTTCTGCCTGCGCTGTTGTGTGTCCAAAAGTGTAAATGCTCGGGCCCTACCCCATCCGGAAGGCCACCCTGCTCAGCAAGCCGATTCGCGGGCGAGCGGGCAAGCAACTGGCTGGCACCGTGCCATTACACTTATAGCCGTGGCTGTGGAGGCAGGCATTGTGGACCCATCTCGTCCTGCTCCACACCCCTCGTGTTCATTCCCATCCATCGCTGTTGACAATTACATCCACATTTCTTCGGGGGAAGGGGGCATCCGTGCCTAGAGCTTGATACAGTCGCTTTGGCAAATGTAGAGCCATGCTTGCTAGAGCATGATTTCGTTGCGCCCCCACTCAACTAACGCTGCTCTCACTCGTCGCTGCATCATAGCCTCGTCAGTGACTCCTCCAGCTTCAACGCCACGAGTGGATGGCTCGCTTTCCTTGCGGCTGCGTAAAATCAAAAATCAACCCTCACTTTGAAAGGTTTTAATTTACTACGCTATGCGCAGACAGGCATGGCATTTTTTCACAAACGTGGCTGAAGTGCATGTGCAATGCGGGACAGCTGACCAGGTCCCCGGGATTCCTTGGATTCCTCAATTCAACAAGTGGGGAGCGTCAGTGACGCAGCTTGGGCCCATAAAGCAGCAAGTGCAAATCCTTGCCACTTTACCATTACTTAAAACGACGCACACACTGCATTTATGGCGGAGGGCGCAAATCAAGAACAAGAAGCATCACAGCCTTCAAGGAATCAGCCTTGCAGCTGGCACACATGAGCTGCAAAGGGAATGTGTGCCCCAACTACGGGCATGAGAGTTGTGCAATGTCACCTTGACAGTAAACACATGCGACGCAGACATGTTTGACGCTGACTGTGAAAGAGGGGGCAAACCAGCAAGGGTGCTGAAGAACACGGGTTGTACAATGACGGGCACGGCGCCCATCTGGCAGGGGATGGTGAACATTTGCCAGCATGCACGTGCCTTGCACGCAGCAGGTGGGGTTGAGGCCGGAAGAACGGCGACAACCATGGCACTGCAGCAATTTCGGCACAATATTACACGCAGCAACCGCGGCTGGACGACAAACTGTCCCCAACGCCGCTGTGCAGTGTGTCCGCCGGGCACCACACCAAAAGGTGTTGGCGACAGACCGCCGGAGAATTGCAATGTATCGGCAACATGGGCCCATGAACCATGACACTGCCGGGCATAGCTGCACAGCTGGCCACGGGCTATGTATGATGGGCCCAGGCGCTCCCTGCAGCAGACAAGCGGCCAAAAAGACTGAACTGCACTTGGCGAAGTTCCACAACTACAGGTCGCCAGCCAAATTTGCCAATCAATCCTGGCGCACCTCGAGGCCACAGGAGCAGGCGACGCCCAAGTTGTTGCAGTAATGAAGGCAAGAAACATAATATGAACCGAAGAGGCTTGCACGGAAATTCGTGCAGAAACCACGGTCCTTCGCCCAGCCCAAGCATTGATGGAACTTGCGCGCGCTTCTGTTCACAGGACAGGCCACGTGCTGCCGCCATTTCGTGACGCTTGGAAAACTGCACCCACGTAACAATCTTCCCTGACACACGGCACACCAGCACCCTGGAATTGGAAC